GAATCGTAACTCATCAGAATAAATAAATCATTTAATAGATCACCCATCAAATATTTTACGATATTTAATCGTAAAAAGTGATTCATACCCGACATAAATTCTAAATTTCTTTTTGGAGCCATATATAATATAAAGGGGGTGTGTATAAATATTTGTCGGCTCTCAAATATTTTCACTTTCGTCAAATCATGTATTCATTGGGATCAGTAAATTTCTTATTTACTGCAGGTGATGATTATAAATCAAATGAGAATGAAGACAACTATATCGATAACCATTTCTCTCTCGAATGGTTATTATGATATAATTAACCTTTATCTCACTTGATTTCTAAACATGATCTCTATTATTGTCTCATTTAGTGTCTCAATTTGATATCCATTTCAACGGATATTCAAATTCAATAAATTTTTCGAGACATGATAAAAATAGTGTTTTATTTATGATAAACTTTTCTCCTACAGGAAGAAATATAGTAGTGGCTCTTCTGGAGCTTTCAATCACTTAAACACTACAACAGATTGTGTTTGTCTCTCTCATTGGAATATAGTGTATATAGTAGCACTTATTAATGAGACACATATCATTGTCACTATAATTCTTATGGGACAAATATCATCACCATAATCCTTTGATCCCAAATGTTTAACATCCATTTCTTCTTCAGGAAGAAAAGCTAATTACTATTATAAATTAAATTAAGCATCATACACCTTCAGGGTATTTAAAGAAATTGGCTATGTGAAGATGCGATTATAATTTTGATTCGTCAAATGTACTTCGGGACATTTATCTTTAGGACCTTTATTTTCTTGTCTTTATCATTATTATCCCACTTCAAGTGGTAACTTTTTCTCTTGTCATGACAAAATATACATTTACCAAAATTATAGTCATGGCAGCAACCATAACTAATAAATTGAAATTTAGTCACATTCACTTCTGGGAATGGACTAGAATTAGCATGCAATAAGTACAAAATACTTCTCAAAATTTCTCTTAATATTGCTACTACAGGAGCATATTCGAGTAATCAATTGTGGAGAGTATTATTTTCAATATATCTTATGAGTAAAATTTTCTCGACACAATTTCAACTGAGAATTAATTCTGAAAATTGCATAATTATGTTCTTGTAGCCACAGGTAAATTTATCATACCAGACTTTTGAAATAATGACCATCTTCTGGTGGCCAAATCTTTTTGTTAAAGAACGACCATCTTCAGGTGGTCGGATATTTTTCTTTAAGTATTTCAAAGGACAAGTAGATCCTCAAATATAATTGATTTTCTATAATAGCATCTCCAAAACTCAATGCATCAAAATATAAGTATTTATAACAAATAATTATAAAGATAAATAAGTCGAATTAAAAGGAGAAATATTACCTCAAATATATCAAACAATATATTTTGTGTTTAGTGGTTGCTCAACAGTAAGTACTTGTATTTTGCGATAATTCAAATATTAGCCATAAGAAATTGAAATAAGTTTTTGAGTTAGAAATTTACCTCAGAATTTTCTTGAAGAAATATGGACAGAATTTCGACAAAATCTTGTGCTTCACCTTTGTTCAAGGTAGAGCCCCCGTTTTCACCTTTTGCTCAAAAGTAGAGATTTCGTGCTGATAACGTGTTATAAAACTAATAAAATAAGCTATTATAATATCAAGTGAAATATTGGAGAAAGAAGTAGAGAAAGAAGTGGAGCAATGGAGAATGATATTCTTATTTTTGTCAAATAATACAAAAGTTCATTTCAAAGGGTGTCAATGTACCTCTATATATAGGTACTACAAGATTAAAGGAACATCAATCCTATTAAACACCCACTATTACAAGAATATGAAGAAACCTATGAAACGGTTCTTCCACTACATGAATAGATTTATGGATTGTAACTTCTATACATAATGTATCCATAAATCAAGAATTAATCCTCTTGGAAATACAAAGGGACATCCATACTTTTAATTGTTTCATAACATAGCCTTAATTTTTGTAATTTTCCAAACACACCCTTAATCTTTGTCAAAAAATTAACATCTGAAACCCTCCGAACCCTTATCAATTTCAGGTCATACACAATCCAAAGCCAAAAAAAAAAATTCCTATTTGACTCGTATCATTGGGCAAGATATGATGCATAACACCCTTTTTAGAACATAAAAATCACACCCAAAAAAAATCTTAATCAATTATCTACCTTTTCAGCCATTGAAGGAACCTGTCCTAGATGCTTTGAAAAACACATGGGGCGGAAACAGATCCATACAATCCTTATCACAACAAGTTTTTCTTTCTTTTTTTTTTTGGGGGGGGGGGGGGTGTACTGTTCCTGCCCTCGAGACACAGCCGACTGCATTGCATAATTTGCAGTCTGCTATTTGAAACAGTAAGAGTTTACACTAATCACTTGCGTTCTCTCCAGTGAGAGACAGAATTATAATTCTGCTAAGAATCTAAGGTAGAAAACTAACAAGTGAAACATGGTCTTTCCTTTCTTCTATGATGATGCCCTGTACTATTTGGAGTTTGCAGAGGAACACTGGTGTTTGACTAATGGTTTGAAGAATCAAATGCTGATCCTTAGACAGGATCTGAGATTTCTGAGGACGTATCTGTTATGCATGGAGTTGTTGAAGAAGGTTTCTCTTATCAGTTTTAGCAGATCAAAGCCGCTTATTTCCAGCATAGAAGCTGCCTCCTCCGAGGCAGCCCAGTGCCTTTACAAAGCTCTTTCAGTTACGAGAACAATCCAGGGTCTTGCCAGTGCGGTTTCTTTTATAGCAAATAAGGTCAAGTGTTTTGAGCCAAATATACAGCAAGATTACACATTATTGTTGAATCAGCATTCATGGGATTCATCATCATCCAACTACTCATCATTGCATCCGCACGCCTTACGGATTTGTGTGATTTTGTCATAAATAACTTAGATGATCTTCTTGAGTCGAAAAATCTGATCTTGTCATTGAAGAAGCAAATGGAAGTTCTTGTAAAGAAGCTCAAGTTTCTTAAGAATCTCATATCTGATACTTCTTGGAGAGATGATGCAAGGCAGGTAATGGGATCTTTTATGCAGTATGTTCCGTCTGTGACCAAGGTAGCAGCATGTTTGTCCTATCTGTGTTGGGTTGGTGAAACGAATTATAGATACAAAGCACGTGAAGTGGAGATTAAGCTTTCTGATCTGCTACAGAAGTTTAAGACTGATACTGCAGAGCTCATTGAGATGCATGTTACGCTTCTCAGCGCTTCGGCAAAGGAAAAATCGGGTGATGGTAAAAGAGAAGCTCTGAATTTTGTCAATTTCCTCATGGAAAACTCAGTCAGCTTCATGAATGACCAAAATGTTATCATCTTTGAAGAGATGGTTTTCCTGATGGAGTTTGTGATCAAGCCCCAAACTTATCCGATCACAAGAGATTATTACCAAATATCAGCAGATATTAAAGCAACGGCCAAGGAGGTAGGATGTTTCGAGTACAATTTTCTTGTCAACAAAGCAACAGAGGACCAACTGAGGGATATGAATCGTATGTTTGCTAGCTTGCTGGAAAAGATGAAGCTGATCAAAGCAGAGATATTTCTGATACAGCTACAGGACTCTCAGGAAAGTTTCATTGCAACTTCGAAGGATAGAATGATAGGCCTTCACCAGAGTCTGGGATTCCTGAGATCGTTCCTCAGTGATCCACTTGAGAAGGAGAAGGAGGATATAAAGCAGCTCAGTAAAGATGCAGCAACAATGGCTCGTGAGATTACGGCCCTCATTCACTTGATGCACGAAAAGAAGGTGACCAAAGAGACGGTAAGGGAAGTGAATCTTGAAATTTTTTTGCTGCTGGAAAAGATAAAGCTCATTGAGGGAGAGTTATATTTGATGAGGCTAAAAGACCAAAAGGCTGAATTCATAGCCCCTATTAATGATCAAATTATAACCCTTCATGAGGGGCTTAAATATTTTAGAGAATTTCTCATGGATCCCTCAAAAATGGAGGAAGATACGGAGGATGGAAAATTATTCTTGAAACATTTTGAAGCTGTGACTAAGGAGTCATCTTCCTTCATACTCTCATTTTGGTCCGATGAAAATGCAAATGAGGCAATTGATGAAGCCAACTTTCAGTTGCTCAAGTTACTCGACAAGATTAATCTTGTCAAGGCAGAGATCTTTTTAGCAGAACTACAAAGCCACGATGCTAGCTGGATGATCGATATGAAGGATCCGGTTCAAACTCTTCAAAAGGTTCAAGAGGGGTAAGATTTCTCAGGATCGTTCTCTTGGAGTTTCCTAAGGAGTTCAAGGAATTTGGCGAACAGATCTGGATGAAACTCGAAGCTCTGACCAAGGAAGCCACATGTCTAGTTTTCTTGCTCGGTGATAATTTAACGAAAGAAGACATGTCCAAGGAAATGAACCGTTCGCTTTCTGATTTGATAGATAAAATAGTGCTTTTGAAGGCTGAGATCGGGCAAAGTTATCTCCAAATTCCGCAGCCATATCCCAAGACTGATGATCTTGGCTTTCTAAGCTCTTTCTTGGGAAATCTGAGGGAGCTACTTGACTGCAATGCTATTTCAATTGCTTCTGCAAAGCATCAGCTTGACATGGTATATATGGACTTGGACTTCCTCATATCTTTCCTCATAAAAAGTGTAAAGCAACATCATGACCATGAGGAACTGAAAGTTCTTCGGACTAGAATTACAAAAATTGCATATGAACTAGAATATGCTGTTGACTCCTTTGTGGTTGGAGATGGCCCCCTATGCATTCGTATGCTATGGCTTTCTGCTGTCATAGAAGAGATTAAACTTTTAAAAGCAAACATGATTGAGATTTCTGACGAGAAAAGGTTTGACTCTGAAGCGGATAGAGGTGCCAAGACCTCCAGTGAGGCACAATCACAAGCTAGTAGCCCAACAGTTGATGAGGTTGTGATAGGTTTCGAAGATGCAGAAAGGGGGTTGTCGATCGACTAACAAGAGGAGCAATGGAAAGGGATATCATCCCAATTGTAGGCATGGCTGGGCTTGGCAAGACAACTCTGGCCAAGGAAGTGTTCAATAACCCTACTGTTACCAGCCACTTCTATGTTCGTGCATGGTGCTGCATCTCTCAAGTATATAACAAGAGACAGTTACTACTTGATATCTTGAGCCAAATCAGTGAGACCACTGACCAAATCCAGAAAAAGGATGCCGAAGATGTGGCCCTAGAATTGCGCAAAAGGCTAAAGAGGAGAAGATATCTCATCGTCATGGATGATTTGTGGGATATCGAAGCATGGAACGACTTGAGAGATTCATTTCCCAATGATAACAATGGAAGTAGAGTTTTGTTTACCAGCCGATTGGAAGATGTAGCTTTTGAAGCTAAGTCAGGTTGCAAACCTTACTTCCTTCATCTACTTTCTAGCATTCAAAGTTGGGAGTTATTGGAATTAAAGTTGTTTGGAAAGAAGGTTGTCCTCCATCGCTGCAGGAAGTCGGGATGGAAATTGCACGGAAGTGTGACGGACTACCTCTGTCAGTTGTTGTGATAGCGGGTTTGCTTGCAACAACAGAAAAGACACCTCTTAGTTGGGAACAAGTTTCGAGAAATTTGAGCTCTCACATTGTTACGGATCCACAAATGGGGTGCCTGCGTGTACTGGAGTTGAGTTACCTGCACTTGCCAGATTATTTGAAGAGATGCTTTCTTTACTTTGCAGCCTTTCCGGAGGACCATGAGATTCCAGTATCAAAGTTGTCAAGGCTATGGATTGCAGAAGGGTTTTTGCAAGAAACTGGTGTTAAGAGATTGGAGGATGCTGCAGAGGACTGCTTACTAGATTTGATACATAGAAGCCTAGTTATCGTGGCCAAAACAAGATCAGACGGTAGGGTGAGATCATGCCGCATTCATGATCTACTGCGGGAGCTATGCCAGAGAAAAGCTCAAGAGGAGAACTTTTTCCAGCTTGTCCACGGGTATGATGAACATTTCGCCACTACTCCTGATGGTAAAGTTCACAACCTCGCTGATTCTTTTTCCACAATTCCTCCGAAATACAAACAACGTCGGCTGTGCATTTGTTCCAAAAGGGAGCATTTTACCATGTTGAGGCCTTGTGGTCCTCGTGTACATAGTCTACTATTTCTGGCCTATAATGATTGGTTCCCAAGGCAACCTTATGACATTTCATTCATTTCTAAAAACTTTAAACTTCTAAGAGTGCTGGATTTGGAGAGCATCAACATGGGTAGTTCTTTTCCCACTGGACTGGAACTACTTGTTCAGTTGAGATACTTAGCTCTCAGAGGAGCTGTAAATTCTGTTCCAACATCAATAGCTAAGCTCAGGAAGTTAGAAACTTTTCTTCTGAAGGGACTATCTGGCGAAGTTGAAATTCCGGACGCATTTTGGGAAATGGAAAGCTTAAGGCATGTCCACATAAATGACCGTGCTGCATTCATTTTGGATGACAATAAGCTTGAAACCCGATGTGTATTGGGCAATCTGGATACCCTTTCTACACCAGTTCTTCGTCCTGGCAGAGCTACAGAGAAAATAATGAGAAGGCTACCTAAACTTCGGAAACTAAGATGCATTTTTATGGAGTCATGGAATTTTCCGGTGCTGGATGCTCTGACTTCCCTCGAGTCACTCAAGATATTTTATCATGGTAGAGTTGCTTATCCTTGTAAATTTAGCTTCCCTGCAAATCTCAAGAAGTTGACACTGTCAAAGTTTCGCCTACCATGGACTGAAATATCAACAATCGGGAGACTACCAAACCTTCAGAGTTTGAAATTACTCTTTAAAGCTTTTGAGGGACGGGATGGGAACCAAAAAAAGGAGAATTCCAGAATCTCAAATACCTGAAATTGGACAAGCTGGACATTGCTCAGTGGAAGCTTCCAATGATCACTTTCCCTCCCTTGAGCAGCTAGTCTTGCAAAGATGTACGCAGCTTGAGGAGGTGCCATTAAGTTTTGGGGAGATCCCCACATTACAGATAATTGAGGTGCATTGGTGTGCCGAAGCTGCTGCTATTTCTGTCAAGAAAATCGAGGAAGAACAAAGGGACTCCGGAAATGAGGAGCTCAAGGTCCTTATTTCCGGACTGGAGATATAGAAGCCCTTTCTGTAGTTTCTTTCTCATGTCGACAGGTAACTTAACTTCTTCTCAATCATAAACTTCATTAGTCTTGTTACTTTTTCTCTTTCCCATGTAGCACCTCTAACAGATGAAATTGATAAAGTTGTGTCCTAATCGGGTTGGTTTCTTGAATTGAAACTTATGTCAAAATATGGTAGTTTCAAATAGTTTTAACATGCAGCTATACATGGAAAAGGCAAAAGAATAGTTCGCTTTGTGCACTGTGCTGTTCAGAGTTCGAATCTTGAGTTTGTCAGTTAGGGGATGGAAAAGGTGTGTGTAGGGTAGGGGTAAATATATATATATATATATATATATATATGGAAAATATTTATCCCTCTAATTTTAAGGATTTCAAAATTCTTGATGGACTATGAGGATTCATGTTATTATTAGTGATGAGTGGTCAGAATAAAACTATCACACTATAGGACTATTGATTCTTTGAACATCAGGGATTGTTGTGATGAAGAAGAAAATGCATAGGCTTTCGAACACTTAAGAACTCCAACCAATAGTCTCGGAGATTGCTAAAATTTTTTTCTTTTTTTTTTATGCATTGAAATTGATTACTAAAGCCAAAAATTTTAGATTTTCATCTAATAATGATCCTTTTTGAAAAATCCTATTAGTCATCTTTAGGCAAAATATGCTCTACAAGTTTGTTTTGCTTGGCCAAATTTATGTATGTTATGTTATTGATAAACTAATTAATTTCTTTTTGTTGATGACAAAAGAAATAAAAAGATAGTGCTATAGAGGATAACTATGGAAAAACAAATTTGTGATAACAGGAACTACAAGTCAATCATGGTACTGGTTCAAGTCACTGGTCAATCTAAAAGATCAATTGAACTAGTCAAATCCAATTAAGAATGGACTGAACCAATAAAAAAACCGGTAAAAATCATATCTTTAAACCAGTTCATACTATTTTTTAAATTTTAAAGTCATCTAATTTACATAATAAATAAAACAATAAAAAGGTATTTGAACCGAGTTGAATAGTAATCCGGAAGCTCATCTGATTCATTTAATGGTCCGAGTTTAAAAACAATGGTAATATGTTGATCTATTAACACAAATTCTGAGATAAAATAAACTGCTCATGAAATGAATTCCAAAAAAGGAAAGCAGAAAGAATACATTTCTTGAAACATTTAATGCCCACTGTGTTGAAGTTTAGTTGAATCTGAATTTACCATTCATGAATAATTTTCACTTCAATTTAATCGATGTTAATCCTGTGCTTTCTGATTTGTGACAGGCTGACAGCAATGGAGAAAATTTTTAGCTGAAGGCAGGTTCCAGATTAGACTATTTTCCCTCTGCTTATCTTGGCTGCATTTCCGACGTTACTTTATTTTTCCGCTGCTTATCGTTACCGTCTTTCCTCCTGAAGATGATCAAGAAGAAATGGCACTCTCAAAGTTCCTATCCTGCTTGGATCAGATTTCCAGGGTTCTTTGTTGCACGTTTGTTGAGGTTTTTAATTTCAAAGTTTCGCATATTAATTTGAACTTGCAGACTCTATGCTTCGCGATTGAATTTGATTTGCTGTATCATTTCTCTTTTTCCCCAAAATGACTTTCTTTTTCTTTTTGGTTTTGTTAGCATGTAATGAAATTTGTGGCCTGTCAGAAAGAAAGGCGCAATTACAAAGTTACAAATGCCAGCAGACCATTTTCGTTTCCTATGTTTTCTCCTTATTGCTAAGTAGACCGAAACTATATACCCTTTCATGAATGCAAATGAGCAGGATATAACACGGGATGAAAAAGGGGTGGGTGTAAAGCACCCAACGATGCACAAGACTCTTATATTAAGGCACAATCGATAGCATCATGGTAGAAATCCATTGCAGGCATGACTCACATGATTGCCTTACAAGAAGAACACTGTATAAGCATATTTTCATGGGCTAAACAACCTTTCTGCACCTACTAGTGCTGATTTTGCTGCATAAAACTTCTACCAAAGCTTCCAAGTTCCTGGGAAATAGCCATGCAGCTACACGAGAAAGCTACAGAAGAAACAGGTGAATTGAACTCACAAGTTTCTTCCACTTGGTGAATGCGAAGTGACGAGCCGACTTGTCACCGCTGGCAATACATTGAAGCTAACAAGTATGATCATCCTTAGAGCAGCAGCTCTTTGGGAATGCGTCCTAGATAAGGTCACGGGTAGCTGCTGGCCGTGTACGGAAATGTTCACGATTATGGATCATACTCTGAACAGTTCCAATTGGCAGCACGACATTCATTGGAAAGCAACGCCCAGAACTTTCTTAATCACGATACTAGTTGGCTAGAACCAATTTGACACACTGAAATCTCTCAGCTTACTCAGGTGTCTTTCCATGTCTTGCCTAGTTTTGCTCCATTCTTCCTTCTCTATCACATCTGTTGGAGTATCTCTTTCATTCTAGGACAAACAAGATACGTAAGTCTAGCAGCTGAAGTAAAAGCCACCATAAATAAGTATAAAACCGAGATAAAAAGAACAGTTACCGGAGGAATTATTCTGAAGGAATTTCCATTGTCACGTATAACAAGCAGATCATTCCTCCTGTCCCTGTTTTTCCCGTCTGGTACAGTCACCTAGTCCGGAGGAAAAAACCATATTATGTTGATTTGTCAAGCCTATATGTCAGGACAAAGCACCTATTGTACCGGACATCCCTTTTTTACCAGTACAATAGTATAAACTTTAGTGTAAAAATTTGTCTTCATACTCCAGCCTAAGAAGCACAGAATTTCGATGAAGGCATTCTGAGAAGGTAAACTCAAAAGCAAGACTTAAACCATTAGTTCAAAGCCCATACGATTCCTTACCACAACTTTAGCTCTTGTTATTGATTTTGTCTTTGAATCAATTACATAAATCTCCTCAAAATCAAGCATGAAATCAGGATCACCAGATCTGCGGTTTCTATAATGCTTCGTCAGGAAAATCTGCAATAAAACACAATCATGCTATTCAGGAAGGAAGATATTTTAATCATGGCTCAACCTTGTCACAACATAAAAGGAACACCAGACTTGTTTAAATAGGGTAAAATACAAAATAATAGGAAAACGAAAAATGGGGTAGTTTTGATGATTTTGTATTCAAAATTGCTCAAACAACCCTTCAGAGTTGACAGGGAATAACATTTACTTAACTGCACAATAAACCAAAAGAATTGGTCAAATATAGGAAATAGAAAGACAGATTTATTTAATCAACAATTCCATAGACAAAAACAAATTGAGAGAGACAAGTGCATATCTTTCACTAAAAATTCTAAAGGAGATAATACATTGAAGCGAAACAAGCAAAGCAAAATGGTGGCTTATTAAGGAAACAACAATATGACGTAGATGTTTATATCAATAAATCAGATAATATTTTTAGAGTACCAGCAGGTAGAAATCCGCAAATAACATTTCAACCAATTTAGGTTAGGCACGCTCTAGGATATCTTTACAAGTCAAGTTTTGTGGTGAAGGATCAAGAAACAGAAACAAAGGTAAACAAAGGAGAAGATGGAACAGCTTATTTGGAAATCCTATTGATCCCCATATCAAATTTGAGTTTGAGGATGATTTTTCCAACTTGATGAGAATTGACACGGGATGACTTTTAGTTGAAAACGAAATTACTGTGAACACAGACTAAAGCAACACTTTAGGTCCAGGCTAGGATACTGCAGTACCTCCACATTTCTGGACTTCCAATTACAACTTCCTTCCCTAGTTTGCTCAGAAATGTATGGCTTAAATATATTAATGAGAGCTTCCAACAGAGTAGAATTTTACGAGCAAGAACTTCACATGTATTCCTAGTTATGGCACTACCAAGTTCTTTGCATTTTACGAGAACTCGACACATCATGAGCTCTTTCTTTCCAACAACTTTGGCTTACCCTCCATGAGCTACAATTGAAGGTCTAATGGCCTCAAAACCTAGAACTGAGCTAAAAAACTATACACCTAGTACCACATTTGTTGATCATCAACTGACATCAACAACGATAGAAAGTATCCTCTAAAAAGGGGAATAACAATTGATAAGCACAGAAAAATACTACAGAAATAAGCAATTTTTACATAAATGTTCTCTGCCACTCTTAAACAATTTGGGCCACGCACAAACTCAAATACTACTCGCTGCCTAACAAAATGGAAATATCGAACTATACAAAATTCAAATTTTTGATAAAGTTTGGAAGCAAAGCTGCATCAAAATCCACAGGAAAAGCTGCATAATGCAAACTGTATCCCACACATACCTTCAAGACCTCCCTCTCGGATTTATACATGGGATCTCTGGGTGCATCAATAGGTGGCTCTGTTACATTGTAGCATCCATAATCAGTCTGTGCACATCGAATGTACTACAAAACAAAGAGAAACCATTGAAGTAAGCAAATCAATCAAATTTTGGTATGGCTATACAAAAGTAACTAATATGATCATATTCTACATTAAAAGCTGAAGATCCTCAAATCTATCATTACCATATTGTACCAAAGGTGGAATAAGCATACAACCTATAGTACATTGTCTACGTATACATAAAAGGTCCTGAAAACCATTGCATACCTTTTGAGGCATTGGAGCAAGAACCTTTGGGATCGCATATACATCTGTGTCAGGAGGCGTGACATACATCTGCACATTGCAAAATGAAACCTCATACATCCTTTAACCATACTCATTAGTCAAGAAAGAAATCTACAATCTTTACTGCATAGCGTACAACACTTCGGAAAAATGACATACTATTTTTCGTCCCTTATTTTTTTAGCACTAAGAAACTCATACTAAAACTAGCAACGCCCATGGGCAATATCAACAAAGAAATCACATAATACAACTGTTACAGAATAATGTACAACAGAATCTACATCACAACGTGCTAAAACTTTTACAACATACTATGCAATATTTAAGCCAGAAGGTACCTTACTACTATTCAGCCCAAAAAAAATTCACAGGCTACAACTTTGCAGCATAATGTACAACACAATGTAGCCAAAAGGTACCACTACCCTAGAAGAGTGAACAATGCTGAAAGAGAAAACTCTCCTACCTCCCGGAAGTCGTAAACGTCGTCGTCGGGGTCAGGAGGTTTCCGAATAAAGAAATCACAGTCGAGCAAACAAATTTTATGAAACTCCTCTTCATTAATCCTATATTCCACAATCTTCTCGGAATCCCAACCCTGAGTAGAAATAAAGCTCTTGCTCTGAACTATCAGAATGTCATCCTCTCCTCCGGCCGCGGCTGCGGAAATGGCGGTGGTGGTGTCGTAGTCAACGTCGAAGTCTTTCTTGTTGTCTACTTCCTCGGCTTCTTCGTCGTCCATGTCGTAGTCGTCGGGGCTGCCGCTGTCCCCGTCTCCGTCGTCGGCCCAGGCCCGAAAGTCTCGTCTGCTGGAGATTATGGGCTTTGTAATTGGCAGGTGAATAGTGGGGGACTTAACTGAGCTGGTGATTGGGGGTAGTGACGGTTTAGGAGAGAAAATGGGGAGCAGTGGCCGTGGCGGTGGTGCGAGGAGGAGTTGCGTGGTGATCATGGTGGTTTTGGGAGAGGGAAAGGGAATGATTTTTGTTTGGGATATTTGTGTCAATTGCGTGCTCTCTCGGAGGGGATAATGTTGCGTTTTGGGCGGGATTCGATGCTGCTGACGCAATAACTAAAGTTAGGGAATTTCGCCAATTTGGTTTCTGAACATTTTCACTAAGGGTGCGTTTGGTTCAACAGAATTGGAATTGAATTGGAATTGAAATTCTATAGAATTAAAATTCTATGAATTGGAATTCCAAAACATTGGAATTCTTTTGTTTGGGAAATACATAGAATTGATATAGAATTCATTTGGAATTCCAAATTCTTTGTTTGGATGAGAGAAGAATTCATTAAAAATTAGAATTGTTTCCAACTAACATTTCCTTACATAAAAAATTTCTTCTTTTTTACTATATAATAATTTTTTAACATTTAGCTAATTGTTACTAAAGCTTTAAGGAAAAAGCCAATTAGTGCCCTTAATAATTTATTTTTTTTCTTGCATTTAACTAATTGTTACTAATGCTTTAGAGAAAAAAAACAAATTAGTTCCTTTTCTACAAAAAAAAAAATTTGATCAGAAAGCCAGCAAATCAGCAATAAACAGCCAATCTAGCACTAATCAATATTCAGAGTGCCAATTTCTTATCGCACAGGTACAAATATACCAATATGATTGTGCTGGTAGTAAGATTTCCATAATAACCAAAAAGGACTGGGCAAGTACATGATCCAAACAACAGGCATCATTTGGTTTAGGTAGCTTTATACCTTGTGAAACTGAAAACCATGAACTGAGCCAATTCCAGTCTGGAGAGTGAACGTCAATGAGCAATACAAAGAGACCTCCTAATATCTTCACAACTCATAGCACTTCTCCTATTCAGTTATGAAAATGCATATCATAGAATCACATGACGGAATTCAGTGGTGGAGGCCATCAGAATGCAAGTTCATTTATGTTAGCCTCTACTGAGTTTAAGAAGTGGAAGGTTCATGGTGATGCCTTGACCAATGCGGCAATTTAGAATATTTTGTGCATGTCATGTAGATGGTGTAAGATGCTCTAATCATTGTTTGGTCTCCTTACACAAGTCCTAACTCTAACCCCAACTCTGTATGGAGGAGCTTTGACCAGCAGCAGTAATGTTGAAAATCTACTACTAGTCTAACCTTGGATCAGTAAGAGCATAATCATTTATATCCATTTACAATGAAACCAATTGTAAAAAGCACTTATTGAATTAACTCTGCTAGCTTGGTAGTGATTATAACCAATTACCAATCCAAAACTAGTAGCCGTAAAATACAAAATAATGTTATTAAACTAACAGGAACAGAGAGTGATTAAACTAGTAGTTCCAATAATGTTTGATTAGATAGAAACAGATGATTCTCTAATCATGCCAAATATATGAAAAGCTATCTGAAAGTTGAATTAAACGAGGAACAGAACCACAAGTACCTTACGTAGTTTGCAACTAAGACAGGATCAAAGTCACAGCGGGCATCCTTTACATCAGGTGACCATTTTTCCTTCAACACCCCAGTGACAATCACATCATCTGAAATCAAGCTTACGCAGATCATTTACATAATCACACCACAAAGTGCACTTAATGTACATATGACAGCATAACTACAACACAGATGTGCACTTACGCAGATCATTTACATAACCACAACACAAATGTGCACATAATGTACATATGACAGCATAACCAGGAAATAAAAAGATGTCAAATTCTCATATTCCTGTGACATATTTCTCTGGAATTAAAACTGCGTAGTCATCATATACTTGTAAGGAAAAAGCTCTAAGTGAAGATCAAAATATTTATGCTACTGATTTATTTTTCTTTCTTCCCTTTTGCCTGACTTCTCTTATGAACCTTGTGGTCGACCAAATACTCGGTTGGAGAAGGCAATCATTATTACCACATGGAAAGAAGCACAAATTGATTTTTTACTCCTATTTAAAACTTCAGAAAGTTCCCAAGTGGTGGATATGATATTACTGGATTTGCCCATTAGCATGGATGGTTTATAGACTAATTGCATACCAATATGGTGACGTAGAAGACACCATTGAAGTCCCTGGGATGTCCTCTCACCAATGATTAAAGACTACATCAAAAAGCATTTTGGATATGATTCAGAATTATGGCTTTGTAGCTATAGTAATGGTGGCTTTTGCGGTCTTATTTGCTTTCATGTACTCCTACTGCACCAAGAGATTAAACTTCCAAACTAGGTAGAACAAGCCATGTGTCAAACTTACTTTTCTGGAAGTTTTGCCTTCATTTACTCCTATTTTTCTGGATTTTGAGATGGCACATTGAAACAGAACAAACCGTGGCAATGTGTCAAATGAAACAAGGCTTTGTAACAAAGCCCATAACCAATGATTAATTAAAAAATTTCAAAGATGAAGTTACCTTTCACAAGCCCTAAGTATTTCTGAAATTTGGGGAAAGCAAAAGAGCTGAAGGAGAGAACCCAGAAAGTAAGGATGAGAGGAATAAAGGTGACTGCAACAGAAATGGAGGAGTGGCAGAGGTAAGTGTGGAGACGGAGCGAAAAAAATTGGACAGAGTAGGTCTTGCGATTGGCGAGCTGGTGGGTGAAAGGGTGGCGGGAGTGGAGAAGGATGGAGGGAGTGGCCGGAGGATTGGAAGGCGGAGAGGGAGACGGTGGTAGGAGACGTAAAATGTTATAGTGGAGGTGGAAGCGATGATGGAGGAGGGGCACCTGTGAGGCTCTGCAAGCGATCGGACAAAGAGACGTCTTTGTTTCTTGCAACTTTATGTTTGACCCGGTTATAATTTTTACCCACATTTGATCCGCGTGTAAACCCGTTTCTTAGGATTTGGTGTGGAATTGGAATTAGAATTCTTTTGATCCCATAAAGAATTCAAGTCATGGAATTGGACCCCCATAGAATTCAGATTCAATTCTAATTCTTTGAGTGGAGCAGAATCCAAACAACAGAATTGGAATTGGAGCCTCAATTCCAATTCTAAACTCCAATTCCATGGGGAACCAAACGTACCCTAAATTAATTTTGTCCTTGATAAATTATTTAACCAATTTGTGTTCTTGAAGAAGTTTCTTACATCCAACGTAGGACTTTTCACTGATGTAGACCTACAGGGGCAAAATCATCACACTAGTCTAATCTTTTGCAATTAATCGATGAACACTCACCTATGGGATTAACTAAAAAAATAGAATGCAATTGGGGAAATTGGGGGAAGAACTAGGGTTTCGATAAAATCGCAATGGAGGCTAGAATCGAATCGAGAACATCGCAAGTTCCGCAGTGGACATTGGCGATGGTGACAAGGATGGTAATGATTAATCAAAGTCATCAACAAGATCAAGTAAGCCGTAATTTCAAATCTAACTCTCTCTACCCGTATGTTAGTTGGTCGATTTTAGTGCCACTAGTGTGTTGAATTGGTGAAATAATATATAATGGAAGGATTTGAGGAGGGGTTTAATTTTCCAGTATCGTATAGTTGTGTGGGGCATGAACGGATTCGGAAATGGTGAAATTTTTTGTTAAATTACATATAGATTTCCACATGGAAAAGAAAGTATTTACTTTGGTTATGGTATACTTCTGAAATTTTACTTTGTTTGCTTATGATTTGTGATGGTGAAATTTTGATAATTATTAAATTAAATTGTATGTTTATGACTGTGTCGGAGAAATTTGGTATTTTTTAATATGTTTTTAAAGTAACTTTTGTTTGTTTTTGAGCTGTGATGTGGTCCCTTTGCTTTTAAATTATAGGTTACAAACAAAAAAACCCTGTGCTAAACCTAATACACACTAAGCCCCCTATGGTTTCAAAATATGCAACGCGACACCTCGTGCTTTGAACTAAGTTGTAACACTGACGGAAATCGGTAAAATTAACGGGAACTGATGAAAGGACCAAAATGCCCTTGTATAATACCTAAAAGGCAATTGACGGACTCATTTCTTCCCTTCAAACCCTACGAAGAGAGAGAGAGAGAGAGAGAGAGAGAGAGAGAGAGAGAGGAAGTAAATCGAAGGAGACGAAGGAGACGGAATCAAGTAAGAAAATCGAAGGAGACGAAAATTTATTCCAGAAAATCGAAGGCAAATGGGTATGTATGCTATACTTCGTTCATGTTATAATTAATTAAAATCAGTTCATGCATGTTATAATTAGTTTACAATTTAGGGTTACCCATCTCAGATTTTGAGGGCTGATGATGTTATTTACACCCGTATTTGGGTGTTTACCTTAGAAAATTCCTGATTTTGTGAGTTTTGAAATTGGTACTTTGGATTTAAAATGAAGATTTTTGCTGTTTTGGGACTACGACTTTAGTTTTGAAGCCGAGATTTTTTAAAAAATTTTGGGTGTTGGAACTAGGAGTCATGAAAATAATTTCTGAAATGTCCATTTCTGATGGGAGATTTTTGCTGATTTGGGACTGCAAGTTTGGATTTAAAGTTGAGATTTTTGTTGATATTTGGGTGTTGACTAGGTGACGCAAATAATTTCTGAAATTTCCATTTGTGATGGGAAATTTTTGCTGATTAGGGGTGTTGAGTAGGATCTGTTTCTGTTTGTGTGTGTTTGTGTGTTTGAGTACAACTCAGTCACTTGCTATTACAACAAGATATTTAACAAAGAATTGTAAGTAAAATTTCTATAATTGTTACTGTCTTCTCTGGTTTAGTGGTCCAGAATGCTATTAAAATTGGTTTTCTGTTTGTGCTTTTATGTTTATTTGGTTTTCTGTATATCAATGATGGAGACATAGTAGTTGGGAGACTAAAGCATATTTATTATTGATAGGGTGTTAATTGTTAGTAATTTTATTATTAATTTTTCCCTGTTTCCATGCCAAATATTATTTTAATTGTCAACATATACTTATATTTGGCATCTGGACTCAATTTCAGGAAGTGGAGCAGAAAAGAGAGATTTTCTTACAACAAATACTCCACACGTGGGAAGTTTCTAAAGAACATACAAGCTAGGTTCCACGGGTGTATTTGTGCTGGAATTGATGATTGTGCTGGAATTAATTGGAATGATGTTTTCTCTCATTATCTAACGGGGACCACGTAGAAAGTCTGTCCTTATGGTGGGAGATGTACTCATTAGCCAAGATGTTGGCTTTGATGATTGTAGCTTTTCCAATTGCTCCCTACGTAGAGTAGTGGGCTCAAGGAGAAAAGACTATGAAGAAGTTATGAAGACTAAAGGCTTGCCTGATATATATCGGACGATGGCAGAAGACAGGAGGCTAGTTAGTTGTAGTTTTCTTTCCAAAGAAGCTCCGTAAGTAGAATAGGTAATTGATTGGTTTGTTGGATTTTGGGTGTGAAGTTTTCTCCAGAAGTTTGTTTTATGTTTCTTCGGTCTCTTTCATTCAACTAGTTTCTCCATGAAACTAGTTTTATTGCATTAGATTACGGAGAATCAGATTTTCATTTTCAGTTACTAGCAAGAGTTATTTATGTCTTCGAATTTAATTAAATTGCGTGGGAATTTTCTTATGAGGCGTGGCTAATTTTCTCTCTAGTCAAGGATCAACGCGAAGACGCAGTCCCAAATATCTGTGAGATCTAATTAATTTTACGTGTTCCTTAATTTATTAATATTTGCATGTTTTCTATTTTAATTTCCATGGGATTATTTTGTTAATTGGATATCAAGGGCCCGATGTGCAATTTGACTTATTAATCTCTTGTCAAATTAATCAATTAAATCCGTAATTGTTTAGTTGGTTAATATTAGTGACAACTAGTATTTTCACATACGGAGACATGCAATCTGATTTAAATAACCCTCGTAGCGTGTTATTAATTTGGGTTAGGCTTTTCTAGTTTTTAATGCAATTAGGAAATTAATTCCTACGGTCGTACCTAGGAGTATTTCCTGGTTAGGGTAATCAACGGTCGTACCTTGGTTATCAATAAATTAAGGAAAAGCTGGTCGTTAGAGTTTATCGGCGACTATAACTAACCTGTTAATAAAATTAAGTGAACCTTCTTTGCATCAATGATCGGATGAATGGACTGTGTCTGCGTAGTTGTATCCTTGGCTAGAATTTATTTATCATTTATTTAATTGCTATTTACAATTGTATTAATTAATTATTTATTTTGGTTAATTATTTTTAGTTAAATTGTTTAATTATTTATTTTTAATTTCATCTGATAAAAATCCCCCGTGTCCCGAACTTGAAAAGAATCGAATTTTTTCCAGTCCCTGTGGATTCGACCCTACTCACTACTATACACAGAAAATTTATTTTTCTCGAGTAGGTATTTATTATTGCACAGGCTCGACACCTGTCAATTTTTGGCGCCGTTGCCGGGGACTGGCGTTAATCATTTGTTTCTTTTTAAGTTCATTTTTTTTTCTGGTATTTTTCTAGTTTATGCCTCGCTCTTCTCGTACAGGCGAATTAATTTTCGACCCTGAAGTAGAGAAGACCGCGCGTAGAACGAGAAAAGAAACCAGGCGGCTCACTTGATCCAGAGGTTGAGCCGACAAATTTGTCTGGTGACAATTCAAGTGATTCAGACCAAGAGGAAGTCACTATGGCAAATGCACGAACACTAAGGGAGTTGGCTGCTCCTGATTTAAATCAGCAGCCCTTGTGCATTACTTTTCCACATTTAAATGATGACACTCCCTTTGAACTAAAATCTGGTCTAATTCATCTCTTGCCATCTTTCCATGGTCTACCAGGTGAGGAGCCCTACAAGCACTTGCAAGAGTTCGACGTCGTTTGCAACAGTATGAAGCCTCCGGGAATTACAGAAGAGCAAATAAAGATGAGGGCTTTCCCCTTCTCTTTGAAGGACTCTGCAAAAGACTGGCTCTACTACCTACCGCCTGGTAGTATCACCACGTGGGATCAATTGAAGAAAAAATTTCTGGACAAGTACTTTCCGGCGTCTCGAGCTGCGAGCCTGAGGAAAGAGATATGTGGTATCAAACAACACCCTAGCGAGTCTCTCTATGAGTACTGGGAGAGATTTAAGAAACTGTGCACCAAATGCCCTCAGCATCAGATAAGTGAGCAACTGCTCATTCAATATTTCTATGAGGGTTGCTTTTCAGGGACAGAAGCATAATCGATGCTGCAAGTGGAGGGGCGTTGGTGAACTCTAAATTTTGCAACTTTTTTCTGCTGCAATAATTTTACTTGTCCAATCAATAATTGGTAATACAAAATGTACCAAGTGATTGACATGCAGGTCCTTTGATAGGGACTGAGCCAGCAGTCTTTCCGCTCCAAATCTACCTCAAATCAGTAGCCTAAAAGTAAAACTGCAGATAGTAGCAGATTTTCCAGGAAATTCAGGAGAAGCTCCCCAAGCAAATGGCAACTGCTTGGAAATTGGAACTGTCTTCGTTCATACCTTGAATATCATATGTTGTTTACTAGGAATGCTTTTCTGTGCCCAATATTGACATCATCTCATAGTTTCAGATTTCCAAGTACACCAATTTTCCTACTCCAATTCCTTTCCTGAGCTTTAACTTCCAACTATGGATAAACTGAGAAATGTTTTTCCGTTCTATAAACGAAAGGATGAGAAGGAAGAGAGTTTATCATCACACTTCTGCCAAAATGGAAGTTTACTACTGAAGGAACTAATTGCTTGTTTTGGTGGGCGGTACGAGCTTCCCATCCGAAGTTTCACTGCCGGAGAACTCATCAGGGCAACCAATAACTTTTCAGAACAGGTCAATCATATTGCCCTTGATGATTGGAAGTTTTTCAGAGGGAATTTGCAAGACCGGCCCATTTTGGTTAAATTTGGTGAGGTAGGAAGGGAGTTTCCAAGAATCACTGAGTTTGTCATTCGTGAGATAGTTGTCAATTCACAAATGGGTCACCCCAAGAATGTCTCACATCTTATAGGCTGCTGTTTGGAATTCGAGCTTCCTGCTGTGGTGTATGCTTATGCTCCTGGGATGGAATCTCTTACTCATTCCCTCAGCTATCCCCGTAATAGTAAACTACTTTCTTGGAAGAGTAGAATAAAGATTGCAAGTGACATAGCCAACGTCTTGCTTTATCTTCATACAGCATTTCCTTCACCAATCATTTTTCGGGATTTGAAATTAGCCAGGGTAATATTGGACAATAGCGGAGTAGCTAAATTAGTTGGCTTCATGGTTCAAAGTCACGGTCGCGGTCGCGGTCGCGGCCTGGAACGTTCCACATCGGTCTCGGCATATCGGTCACGGTCTCGATGAGATGCAAATTTTAAAGTATTTAATATTCTAAAAATTGTTAATAATATAAAAAAGTATGCTAAATAAAAAAAATTAAAAAATAGCAAAAGAAAAGGCCAAGTCAATCCGTCGCGGTGTGACTTGGCTGATTTCTCGTCTTGACTCGGGATAACTCGGTGTGACTCGGCCGAGTCAATCCGTCGCGGTGACGACTCGGATGATTTCTCGGCGAGTCAAGTATTTCGGTATCGTTTCGTCACGGTATCGTATCGGCAGGGGCCGAGACGGTGACGACTCGGCCGAGTCGTCTCGGTCTCGGCCGAGACTTCGAACCATGGTTGGCTTTGACCTTTCGATATCCCTTCCCCCTGGAGAAAAGAAGGTTGAAGATGAGATTTGTGGCACTTTTGGATACGTCGACCCTGAATACGTCAAGTCATGCTTTGTGACCGAGAAGAGTGATGTGTACAGCTTAGGGGTATTTATCCTTCTGCTAATTTCTGGAGAAACAAGCGTATTAAAGGATGATGAACTAACAGTAGCTTATGTCAAACGCCGCTTTGAGAATGATCCACTCAAACATATTCTGGATCCCAAGAGTTTTGAAGAGGAAGGCTACAACGAACATGAGATAGAGCAGCATTTGTTGCCTTTTACTAATCTTGCTTTGAGATGTACAGAAGAAAAAGGAGAAGATAGGCCAGATATGATCGAGGTTGCAAAACAGCTCCGCCAAATCGAGAAGTCTCTGCACAATTATTAGCTCTACCATCCCCATTAATCTAAGCTTTGGGATCAATGGTTTGATGTTTTTTGCCATCTTTTTTAATCTCGCAATGTCTGTGTGTTGTGTTTCCTTTATCCATATTCAGACATCTCCAGATGTCAGAATCTGTGCTCATTTTGCAAATCTCTGTAAGTATGTTCTGGATTTTTACACCCTTCCTTGTCTCTAGTAGCTATTAATGAAATTGAATAAGATTTTGAGCTGCAACTGTCTATACAAAAATTGTTCTTTTGGATTTTCTTCATCACTCTCCTAGGAATATTTTTATACCAGGTGATTGAAACTATACTGCCATAAAGTCCAAAGGAAACTACTTATAGGATAGTAGAAGTAACCGGCTTATACTTCATTGTTAGACAATTGCTTGCAGTCAACTTTCAAGTGAGTCGGAAAAGTGAATAAGCTCATGATTCGAACTTCAAGTACCATTCTAGTTTTACATCAATATGGTTCTGATTGGATATCATCATAAGGTTACTGGATACATAGTAATATTTGGTTAGAATCGCAGGTCGCCACTTGAAATTTGTGCTGTTGACTTGAAGATACAAGTATATACCATGTCAAGCTAATTTCACAGGAAACCGAGTAGAAGCTCGCAATTAATGGTTGGATGTTGCTTTGTACGTGCCTTTTTTGTCAAAGTCAACTATATCTAATGTAGCAGCCATAAGAGTTTAAGGTAATCAAAGGCTAATCTATCCATTTTCGTTATTTTGAAGCTCAGATACAAGCATATGCTTCATTGCATTGTATTTTTCTGTAGGCTCTGAGCTGCAAAGTTGCTTCTCAGAGGGAAACTAAAAATTCTCTTAAGGAACAAATCATAGATGTCCTTGACCAAGGACGGCAAACTATCATTTTTCAATAATGGAAGCTCAGAACCAGGGGAGCTTTTTGTTTCTTTAATTTGCTGGACGACACAAATTTCCTACTCAAAGCTTTACTGCCAAGGAACTCATAAGGGCAATCAACATATTTTCTCAAAATGACTTGAAAATAACATTACTAACATGTTTGCAGGTAATTTGAAAGAACGAGCAGTTTTAGCTTAATTTTATACTGGACTAAAAATTTTCTTCTTGGTATAAATGAACCCGCCCCTATTCAAATAATACGCAACATAGTAACTTGTTCACAAATTGAGCTACCTCAAGAATGTCGTACTGCTTATTGGTGCTGTTTAGAATTATAATCTCCAGCTCTCGTGCATGATTTTGCTCCTCGAACTGAATTTCTTAGTAATCGTCTCCACCATCCTAATGATTGCCAATGTTTGCAACTGGTATTGCCAATTTCTTGTGTCCACTTCATTCTGCAATTTCTACACCTATGATCTGTGGAATTTAACAATATATGAGGTGATAAATTGATCAATGTGGTGTTGCTAAATTGTTCGACTTTGGATTATCCATTTCCCTTCCTCCTAGAGAATCAGAAGTGGAAAATCAGCTGAAGTGGACTCATGTTTACTAGCTCAGATCCTCCATGCTAAGTCCAATGTTTTTACAAGGAAGAGGGATGGTTACAGCGTTGGTATGCTTGTGCTCATGCTCTTTACTGGAGAAACAGATGCAATCAAGTTTGATCTAGAATTGGGAGAAAGAAATAATATGCAGGATCATTAAAGGGTAAGTAGAAAATGATCAATTCAATCAAATTGTGGATCTTAATATGTTCCAAGAGCATTGTTATTAAAATGAGCATGAGGTACAGCAGAAGTTGCTAGGTTTCTTGGATATTGATTTGAGAAAAACAGAACATCAATAATGGATAGGCTAGATATGATTGAAGTTGAAAAGGAACTCCATGAAATGAAAACTCTAACTGTACTTGGCAGATTACCACCACCTGGAATTTAGGACTAGGCTTAAGGGCTTTGTATATGTTATAATTCAGATCATAAAATGCTAAACTTGTTGAAAAGAATAACAAATTGGAATTTTAGAAGTGGTTCGTGAACCATAACCACACAGAAGAAAGAAAAGAGATCCTCTTTGGTTGGCTTTTTTGTTTCATTCTTTTTGCAGTGCATTACAAATTGACTCATGTTTTCCTTCAACTCGATATCAGTTAATTTTAACGATGACTCATGGATCTGTTTTCCTTCAACTTGCAACCTTTTTGCAGTGCAAAGCAAATGGTTTGATTAATGTCTTGCTTGATAACACATTAGATAACAGTCTAGCCAATGGTTAGAGAAACTTACCTTTGGCTCCTTGTCATTCAACTTAATAAACTATTAATTTGTAATCAGAGACATCTCTTTGTACACTTTGAACGAAATTACAATCAGTCAGATTTCAACTGAAGTTGGTGGTTAAATTTCTCGAGTCTAGACTGATAGTATGAACGTTAGGCAACCACTTGGGCATTTCTTGGTTGTTGGTGCATGCTTTTCAAGGTCAAGATCAATCCTGAGAATTTTCTACATAGTAAATTAAGGTTGATTTTAAGAACACACTTTCGGGAATCACATATCTGCAGATCTCATTTTTCTTGTTCTTAATATCCAATTGAGTTCAGTATTCTAAGCTGACAGAGTGAACGTTTCTCAAAACCCCCCTCATCAGCTATACAAGTAGTATAAGGTAACTAAAAGCTCATTTATCTTATGTAGATTTTAAGAATTTGCCCTCAGATATTGATAGCATCCGCATGCCGCATTTCCTGTAATGTGTGGATAAAAGGACTGAAGAATTTCCATTTCTTAGACCATGTTGACGAAATGAAAATGTTAACGAAAATAGAGATGTAATTGGAACAAGCTTGAGTCGTGCTAAACAGCAAAAAATTGGAGGAGGAAAGAATGAGCCACAAAGAAAAGTTCACTGGAACTTATATCGTGTGCGCTTTCTAAAGCAAACTGAGCCGAGCTAGCCCACGCGCAAAGAGCTAATCCATTATGTTTTGCGCTGGATAAGCCCAACTCAACTTCTTCTCATGCAGCGAGATCACATTAATTACCAACTTAACACAAGTTCAATAAGAAGCTAAGTATTATAAAATGATGGAAGTCTCTCTGATTTTTCGATGTGGGACAAAATCTTTTGAAATACACAAATATTTACGAACATTGTTAACTTTTCTTGATCTTGCTTTGAGGTGCACAAAAGATAACGGAATCGATAGGCCAAATATGATTGAAGTTGTGAAGGAGCTTCGTCAAATTTGGAAGCTCATTTTTGTGTATATATATCTTCCCTTAAATCATGATAGCATCTGCTTCATTCCTGTTTATATCTGTTGTTCAAAGATCTGCTGATATAATCTATCTCCTTTCTGAGTTGGAACACCCTTTTGCATTCTGAAGACAATGGCATATGGGTAAAATGAGATAAGTTTTTCCATTTCTTACACCAAAATTAAGAAAGGAGAAGGCAGAAACCTTAGTTTTCTTCTACATAATGGAAGTATATAACTGAAGGATCCAATTTCTTCTTTCAATAAACGCTTCCTTTTCACAGATTTTGCCCTGAAGAAATCATTAGGACAAATAAGAATGTTTTACACAGTTCAGCCAGAGTAAATAGGGGAACATGTTTACAGGTAATTTTCAAGAACTCCCAGCTTTAATCTAATCTCACAAAGGTGGAGGGGGGATTTCTTGGTGGAATAGAATGTCTTCAACAGGATTATCCATCACATAATGATTACTTCACAATTGAGACACACCAAGAATATCTTGCAGCCAGATCCTGAGATGGTGTATGGTTGTGCCCCTGGATTTGAATTTCTTGCTGACCGGCTTAGCCACACTGTCCTGGGAAGGAAGTATAATAAGGTTGCAAGTGAAGTGAAGTTAATCATTTATCAATGCCTGTCATTCAACTTCATACTGCATTTTCACCTGTTATATTTTATGTTTACAGCTTTGGTGAGCTAACGTTCATGCTCTCATAAACCTGGAAAAAGAGGTAAGAGTCATGTATGATAAAAAGCAACAGGAAGATTGATCCGGACCTGCAAATATACATAAACCCACCTTGAGATTTGATCAATTCAACTAAAATGTGGATCCTAAGATTATTGAAAAGAAGGCTATCATGATCATTGGCTAAAGCAGCAGTTGCTAGCATTCTTGGATCTGACTTTGAGATGCTCAGACATATGATGCAAAAGAGTTAAATCAGATATGGAAGTTAAACCTCTGTTGTCCCTTTCATCACCACTCATGAATTTTGGATTGGTAGAAGAGCTTGATGTCTGTTTAGACACTAAAATTAAGTGCATCCTTTTTTTAAAAAAAAAAAAAATTTGTCTGCTTTATCAGGCTCCCAAATTTTCGGAAATTGAAAACCATATTCGGTGAGTTTTTCTTGATTTTAATTAGACAATGATTATTTGAACTACCATATTCCTTGAAATGAAGATTTTGCTTCATCTATGGCCATCTTCCAACAGGAAGATATGTTTTAAACCAAAACGTTTTTCATTCTTATCAAGGCATACTGAATACAAATTGCGAAACGGCTTGCATTCTATCGTTTATCCTTTTCTTTTTCAAGTTTTGTTTTATTTTTCTCGGTAATAGTTTGCAATTCATCCAATTATTTTGGACATGACAATCTTGCACATTGCTTCTTTCCTCAATTCACAAAAAAGCACACTCCTCTGCACATTGATTCTCATTGTTGCAACTATTAGGGTAGATATTCTTGAAAAATGTGAAAGACTTACAGAAAGAGAGATTATTAATCAACATGTGGCAGCTAAAATCCAGCCAATTGATGTGCATATTCAATGATTTTGGACATCTCAAGGCACAGATAACATGAGAAAAAAATTCAGCAAAGATGCAGAAAGATTAGTGTAGTAAGAGTAATTTTAACTACAGAGATAAGGTATTCGCGCCCCATTGTCTGGATTCTGCATTTCCTTCCGTATTCGCCCTGCCACTTGTTGTTTGAGCTCTTTCCTGTCTCCACCAGAAAAAAATAGCCCCATGTTAAACTGCATGATCAGACCATACTGGCTGTCCCTGACTTTCTTGTGATCGTCTCTAAGGCTTCTAGGGCACTGGTGAGTTTCCGGCAATTGCCTCCCACCTCCAAGGTGTAGCTGAAGTTCCTAGCTTCTATATTATCTCCCATAAATTGAAGAAATGCCATACAAACAGGAGCCATGCAAAGTTGCAAAGCTTCAAAATGCAGGCAGAAGCAGTCGGCCAAAACAATTAAAAACCTGAAAAGAGATACAATGTGCAA